TGGATTTCCATGAATTGGACCAATCTTTGCCCATTATTGGGTTACAATAGTATGTACGCCAGATCTTAACCAAGCATTGGTCCAATGATTGACGATTGGCAAACCCTACTTGGGATATACAACATATACATGTATATAACGTAACGATACATGCTTTTGAAATGTTAGATATGAAATATACTGTACATTACATTTCACACATTTTCGACACCATGTACATATATTTTACGTAAAATACATGCTTTTCAATTCCCACAAATGTAATATATTGTATATTACGTTTCATACGTTTTTGACGTTATATACATGTAACTGACAAAAAACGAAAAAAACCCTATATATCCAAGCATCACTCATCTCTAAGGTTCACACAACGCAATTTATCTCAATGGGCGGGGGCCTTACAATTTTCTTATTTTATTCATAAAAAATAGATCAGGTAAGGATTTGAAATTTCACTTGCGCCATTTTATGGAAAAGCCTTTTAAATATTTTCAGCGAAAACGAGATGATTGAATCGGTATGGGAAAATATTTCCATGCCCAACTTTTGCTAATTGGAAAAAATAAGAAAAATGCATTGAAAAAAAAAATCCCATAGTTCACTACGGAAATGATTGCACTGCCTTTTTATTTTTATTTTTTAAATGTCAATACGTGTATTACAACTCGCGCAAATAGTTTATCTGTTGTTAACAGAAATGTATACACAGCACTCCCAAGCCCGCGTGGTGGCTAATAATGCGGTTTTAGGTAAAGTAAGTGTTTTTTACGTTTCCACAATAATAATTTTTATCCGGAGGTGGGTAAAAATTATCGAGATGCGTAATAATTTTTTTCCAGAAATCAGTAAACACTAACGCACATTTCATCGTTTTTATCCAGATATTAAAAAAAATTATCCAGATATCTAATAAGTTTTATCCACGCATAGAAGAAATTTTTATTAAGAAGACATATTATTCGGAAACGTTTATTAAACATTATCTACACCAAGGATACTTATTACTCCCGTATGATACTCTTACACAATTACCCTCCTATTCATCTAATTTTCGTCCGAAGCTCAAGGTCATTTTTAGTCAAAATTTCCCTCCGTGTTGATTCCTCGCATGATAGAAACGTGGGATCCAACCATTTGTCAAAAGTCTTGATCAATCGCACCATACTCATCATAACTTGAAATGATGTAAAATAAGTAAAAAAAAGACTGGGCCGAAATTTATAGTCAATCAGTTTATTTACATCAAAGTAAAAAAATGCCGTTAAAAAATCATGTTTAGATAATGATGAATCATTTAGAGACGGCAATTTGATGGAAGATTCAGAGAAATTATTGCTAGAGTTTTCCATATCTTCATAGTTTTGTAGTGCTTCGTCGACCGGAAAATTTAGAATTGCCAAAACATTCAAGAAATGAACTAACTCCTCAATGAAAAATTCTGCTGTACTTTCGTGCCGCGTAGTTGTTGCTAAAAAATTCAAGTTTTCTAATTCTTTTTGCTTTATGGTAGTTAATGTATTAGTTCTTCTAGTTCTAGTAATTGTCAACATTTATTTGGTGATCACTCCCTCTCAACACTATTGTCACATGATATTTTTCGATTCGTTATTTTGCCATTACTTACTAGCAGCACAGATTTTTCCTGGGGATGTTTTATCTCGGTGATATTTCTACATGCAACAATTCTTTAATGCTATAACACCTGATTCCATACTCACGCAGTATTGAAAGCCTGACGAAGTTCTTTCACTCCAAAGGGATCCCTATTGTTAAAGAACTCTGGTATATGGGATCGAATGGTGTAAAATGTTTCGATCGTGTTTTTTGTTGGCTCCACACGATAGTAATTGCTGTGTAGGAATACCGCCAATTCAGTAGGAGAAATTTTTGGTAAATGTGGCTGTTTCGAGCACCATTCCCGTAAGGCCTGAATGTCAGACTCCTTGAGTTCAGGTTCACGTTTCAGAAGCTCTTCAAAGGGTACTTTGGGTATCACTGCCATTTTCCTTTCTCTTTTATCGTTTGCTTTTATAGGTTATTGAGGGTATTGTTTGAATATACTCTTCGGGGAAATTTAATCACTAAATTAACGAAAATAGAAAATGTTAATCCTTAGTGTAGATTTCTTTTTCTCTTCGCAACTTAGTTAGGTTCAGTTTTCTAACATGTCGTACGTCGTACTGGTAAATAACTGAGCTATTCGCATCAATTAAATCAGTCGTCTTATGACGATCAAACACGCAACGATTCTGAACTGGCGTGACTATGCGTTAAACCATGACATTGCAATCACAATAGCTATAATTAATTGTCAGTTTCCAATAAAACCTGCTATCTACTAACATTCTTTCACATCTGTTGTTCGTTGTTATGAATAAATCACAAAAAAACTTTTGTGAAAAAATTTTGCCAAGTGGAAGTTTTATTGTATGATCATATTTTCCTAAAACATATTCTCAGTTTTATTCACAAAAAAATACGTGAAATAAAAAACACGCCAAGCATGTCCTTCACAAATCATATTGATTAGAGGGACTGAACATCACAAGTGACTGAATCCAGTAATGTAAATTTTACATGAACATCTCAAGTGACTGAATCCAGTAATGTAAATTTTACATTACTGGATTCAGTCACTTGAGATGTTTTTTATTTCACGTATTTTTTTGTGAATAAAACTGAGAATATGTTTTGGGAAAATATGATCATACAATAAAACCTCCACTTGGCAAAATTTTTTCACAAAAGTTTTTTTGTGATTTTTTTATAGGATTTCACTTCTTTTTGCAAACATCAATTATTTTCACCTTAATATAATGAACAAGATGG